CCGGAACACGCGAAGTCGCTATCGACGTCGTCGTCGTCCGCGTCATCGGCGCGTGTAAACACGGGCGCATCGTCGGCGGTGGTGACGCCGTCGGTCTCGTACAGACCGTTGAGCGCAGGCACACTCGAGCCACAGACGTAGAACGCCGACGTCTTGTCGTCGGCAGCTGCCGTCGCCGCCAGCATCGATGCGATGAGCAGTCGCCGAAGCATTTCGCGCATTTGATGTGCTACGTGGCTACGTGCTGGAGATCGCCAAATGATACGACGCAGCAAGATCGCGACGCTTCAAGATACCGGATCTTGAGGCGGTGTGCCCCGGTGCACAAGCCAGTGAGACGACTGTTTGGCCGGTGGGCGACACGGGTATGTGCCCGGACCGACGCAGGCAGTGGATATAGGGAACACACAGACGGGTGTCGCATACGTGGATGGCGTCGAGGGCAGTGGAGTAGCAGGGCGCGTTGGGTGGCTGTCTCGTCCTACCACTCTTGTTCGAGGCGCGCGCTGATTGGTGGAATTGGTATCTTTCGACGAGCGCCTGGCGCCAAAACGAAGAACATCGTGTTGTTCCAAAAGCGGATTTTGCTCGTCGCTCACAGAGACGATCCAGCTTCGATGCGGCGACGACTGGTAGAGGTGCTGGCGCTGCTGACGGCATCCGCCGCCGCGTTCGTGTGCGAGCCTGGCTTTGGCTATGAGGCGTCGACCTGCGTCGAGTGCCGAGCGGGCAGCTGGAACGACGGGTCCCAGGAAGCGTGCCAGCGTCCGTCGCTGTGCACGTTCGGCCAAGGTCCCAAAGCCGGTGCTGTCAACGCGACCGACTGCATGAACTGCCCCGCCGGCTACTACAGCGACAACGACGATGAGACGCCGTGCAAGATCATCCAATGCGCGCCCGGGTTCTTTAGCGACAAGGTCGCCGCGATTGACGCCACAAGCTCGTGTGTCGCTTGTGCCCCGGGGTCCTTCTCGACGGGCGAAAACGACGTGTGCCATGCGTGCGCCGTCGGCACGTACGCCGGCCCAGGCCAAGGCGCTTGCTTACCCACGCAGTGCCCGCCCAACGCGTCCCCCAAGACAAACGCCACGACCGCTACTGATTGCGATGCGTGTGCCCCGGGGTTCTTCAGCCCCGGCGGCGACCACAACTGTGAACCCATGATCTGTCCGTTGGGGTTTGAACCGAGCGCGACGCCGCGGGCCGTCGACGACTGCAAGCGCTGCGTCGGTGGTCAATTTTCGACGGGAGGCATCCAAATGTGTGCCAACACGACGTGCCCCCGGGGCACGTATGCTCCCGACGGTGCCAGCGACGCCACCCAAAGCTGCGAAACCTGCCGTCCCGGGTACTCTATTGTCGATCTCGATAGGACCGCGTTGTCTGACGTCGTATGTGCATTAGCTGGGTCTCACTTGGTGGCACCACAAGTCAATGCACACAATGCGGTAATGGCACCTTTGCTCACATCACCGACAAGGACGACCGCGGCGCGTCAGTGTGCTCGCCGGCGACGTGTGCCCCGGGACACTATGCACCACCGGCGTCCACCAGCGCCGCGAACGACTGTGTGCCGTGCTTGTCAGGCACGTTCTCCGTCGGCGGCGACGCGACGTGCAAAACGGTCGCGTGCCCCGGCGGCACCCAACCCCACGCAGCGGCGGTCAACGCAACCGATTGCAGCGTCTGTCCGCGCGGCTACTTCTCGGCCGGCGGCACGGCACCCTGCGCCGCCTCCACGTGCCCTCGCGGAACGGAAGCCGAAGTGGGTGCAACCAAAAACGACCAGTGTACTCCGTGTCCGTCGGCGCAACATTCGACCGGCGGGAGTGGCCTGTGCATGAGCCCGCAGTGCGACCCGGGGTACGAACCGAACTCCGATGGCGAGACTTGCTCGATCTGTGCCGCGGGGACGTTCTCAGTCGGCTACGGTGCATCGTGCCGCCCGACGACGTGCCCTGCGTCCACCGAGAGCTTTCAGGGTGCGTCCGACGCGACAGCCGACTGTGTCGCGTGTGATGCGGGGTATGCATCTCCCGGTGGCCAAGCGCGCTGCTCTCGGTGCCCGGCGGGGACCTTTGCGTCCGTGGGCTCGGCCGAGTGCGCCCCGACGACGTGCCCCGGCGGGTACGAGCCCAAGCCGCAGCCAATGCATACAAACGACTGCGTGCCGTGTCTCGACGGCTACTTCAGTGCAGGTGGCAACGCCACGTGTCAGCCTGCGACGTGCGCCCCGGGGTCCACGACCAAAGCCAATGCCACCGCCACCGACGATTGCGTGCAGTCGCGCCCCAGGGCAATACGGTCTTGGGGCGCCACCAGTGCAAGGAAGCGGCGTGCGAAGCCGGGGCACGGAACACCCCATGGCGCCACGGATGTGGCAGCCGACTGTGTCCCCTGTGGCGCGGGGGCGTTCGGCGCTGGTCGCGGCGACGCATGCGCGCCCACGGCGTGTGCCCCGGCGTCGAGCTCCAATGCCACGACTGCCACCGATGCGACGTCGACCTGCGCTCCGTGCCCGATTGGCTCGTACTCGACTGGCGGCGCGATGCAGTGTACGCCGATGCAGTGCCCTGCCGGGAGCGCCGGCAAGCCCGGGGCTACGCACGCGACCATCGACTGCGTCTCGTGCCCCGACGGACACGCGTCCAGTGGAAATGCGTCCGCTTGTGTCGAGTGCAAGCGCGGGTTCTTCGCAGCGGCGGGGGACGCCACATGCACACCAGCATCCTGTGCCCCGGGGTCGCAGGCCAACATCCTTGCGGCGCACGCAACCGACTGCACAGGGTGTCCACTGGGCACGTACGCGAAGGGCGGGTCGGACGTGTGTGCCCTGGTCCCGTGTGCCCCGGGTCTCTATGCCCCCGAGCAAACCGACCGGTGCGAGGTGTGCAAGCCAGGCAGCTACTCCAATGGCACATCGGTGTGCAAGCCCGCGCTGTGCCCGCCCGGCCAAGCCTCCAAGAACGGATCGACGTCCCCGACCGACTGCGACGACTGCCCGGTCGGGTACTTTGGCCTTGGACAGAATCAACCGTGCCGCCCGACAACGTGCCCGGACGGGTATGCGTCCGCCACGAAAGGCGCGCATCTCGAGCGTGGCATGTGCCAGCTCTGCCCCGTCGGGTGGTACAGCCCCGGTGGCGCCGCTCAGTGTGCGCCAGGGACGTGTCAACCCGGTTGGTTTCTCCCCGAAGGCTCGGGCACGTGCCAAAGCTGTCGCCAAGGTCAATTCAGCCTCGGCAAAGACAAGCCCTGTAACGATACGCAGTGCCCGGCGGGGATGGCCGCCCCGCCGCCGCGGACAGCGCCACGGCACGCTGCGCGAAGTGTCCCGCGGGGTTCTTTAGCCCCGGGGGCACCGTCGACTGCGCGCCATGCACGTGCGCACCGGGGTTTGGTTCTGTAGAAGGTTCGTATCAAGTAGACATGTTGACTTTGTATCAACGGCGTTGCGTAGGTGCCAACGCGACGACCGCCAGCTGTGCCCAATGCCAAGCAGGATTCTACTCCCCCGGTGGCAGTGCTCCTTGCAAGGCCATGACGTGTCCGCCAGGGTCGTCGTCGTCGGCTGTAGGGGCCTCGACAGAACGGGACACGTGCACAGTCTGCGCCGGAGGCTCGTTTAGCCACGGCAATGCGACCCAGTGCCAGCCAACGCAGTGCCCACCCGGCTCGTTTGCACCGCCGGGCGCCGTCGACGCTGTGAGCAACTGCACGGTGTGTGCGGCGGGCCAGTTCTGTGAGGGCGGCAGCAAAGGCACAGGCGACACGATGTGCCAGCCAGGGTTTGCGTCTCCTGCGAACGCGCACTCGCCGAAAGATCAGTGCTCCGTGTGCTCCCAAGGCACCTTTAGCACGGGTGGAACGTCGCAGTGCGAGCCGACGACGTGTGCCCCGGGCACGGCAGCGCCTGCCGGCGCCACCGATGCCAAGGACGAGTGCACCAAGTGCGCCGCCGGCATGTTCTCCCCCGGCGGTGTGGCGGCGTGCGTTGGTCCCACGACGTGTGCCCCGGGGTCTGCGTCTCCGCCTGCCGCCGCCACGAGCAATGAGTCGTGCGCGCTCTGCCCGGTTGGCTACTTTAGCCCTGGTGGCGATGTGCAGTGCAAGATCACGTCGTGCATGCCTGGCTTTGGCTCGCCACGCGGCTCGTCGTCGGCGAATGGCAACTGTACGCAGTGTACACCGGGGCATTTCTCGCCGGGCGCAGGCTTTGACTGTGCCCCCATGGCGTGCCCGCGCGGGTGGGCCTCCAACTTTACAGGTGCCTACCGCAGTATTCACCGCTGCGAAACGTGCGCTGCGGGGTTCTTCTCGCCCGGCGGTGCGGCGCAGTGCAAGCCAACGACCTGTCCACCGGGGTACAGCTCCCCCGAGGTACACTTCTTTCCGTGCATCCACGTACGCGGCAAATGAACGTTGGTTGTAGGGAGCTGACGTGCATGACCGCCAGTGCTCGCCGTGTAGCCCGGGGCACTTTTCAAGAGGCGGCGCCGACCAGTGCAAGCCGGCGTCGTGCAAGGCTGGCAGCGCCGCTCCGCAAGGCGCGACGTCGCCCACCGACTGCCTCACGTGTGCGGCCGGCTTCTACTCGACGGGCGGCTCCACCAAGTGCATTGCGTGCGGCTGTGGCACGGGCTCGACATGCCACGCGTCCAACGCATCGACGTGTGCGGCCTGTCCGGCGTCGACCACGACAGTAGGTCACAGCTACGGCGGCTGCGTCGCGAAAGAGCAGGCAACCGCCTACATCAACGTCGTCTTGACGCTTGGTGGGTATACCCCGGGGTACGTCAGCCCCGCGCTCCTCGACGCACTCCGCGAGGCACTTAAGGCGCTCTCGGGTGCCACAAGCGTTGAGGTGCGCAACGTTGAGGCAGCGCCACCTGCCGATGTCGATGCGTTTGCCCTCGGCGGCAGCATCATCAGCCTCCACGCCGTTGCCAACGCGAGCTCCCAAAGCGCCGTGCTCTCGTCGTTGCAGGTACCTCATCCCATGCTGCCGTTTGCTTTAACCATCATGTCGCATCCATTAGGCGGCGAATGCGAGTCAGCTGCAGCGGCAACTGCAGTCCGACGGCTGGACACGCGTTGGCGGCCTTGCCTTGACCAACGTTGTCGCGTATTACCAAGGCGTGCCGGTGCGCTTACTAGCATGACACACCAGAAGCTCATTAAACGTAGGTCCCAACGATGACGAGCGCGTCACCGACCATGGCGCCGGGGCAGTGCGTCGCCGACGACGGCCCCGGACGCCAACCAAGCGGCCGCCACCAACGAGCCATCGGTGGAGCACGTGACCAAGTCAAGCGCGCATGCCAACGCGATCAACCTCGTCGCATGCATTGCCACCACGATCGTCATAGTGCTAGGGCTAGAGCACTAGCCGCATTTTATTCTCCCGGAAGCTGCCGTCTACATATACTACATCTTTCTTCTGCATACACGTTGAATCCACGCATGACCCGTCATCCGACACGAACGCGATCCTGCCGACACGCTAGTGTGTTGAACGGGACCGACCCTCCTCATGCAAGACACGCAGAACCACTTGAATGGTATTCAACGGGTCCACGGAGCCGTCAAGTACAGAGCGTGGCATGGAAAACCAGGTATCTATCTACCTACTCTTGATGGGCGACCACGGCCTTGTAGAGCGCCGCATGCTGCTGCTCGCCGACCACAAACGAGAGCGTCGCCTTTTGGTAGTACGCCGCGTCCTGCGACAAGTTGTAGATGATGTCGTCGAGAAGGATCGCCTTGCCCGTGAAGATGCCTAGCCGTTGGCTTCAAAAACATCATTTTGCAATCGTTTTCCGATGGAAATGGCAGCGTACCAAAGGGCACCTTGATGTGGGCAAAGTGGATGTGAAAGTGGTAGTACGACGGCTGGTAGTGTACGAAAATGCGCATGCTGTTGCGCTCAACACCGTACTTGGTCGCAATCAGCGCCAGACTCTGGTCCCTGGACCAGAATAAGAAAAAACTCTCCAGATTTGTCAAAGGCGAGGGTACCGGACGTTGCGGAGCAGCGGGAGGTGGTCGCCCGTCAAGTCGCGCACCGACCGAATCGACTTGTTTAGCACCAGCGCCAAAACGTACAAGCTCTCCATCTAGAGAAACGATGAGGTCGCTTTCAGAACGAGGCAGTGCTAGCGTACGTGCGTAAAGCGGGACCACTTGGTGTCGGGCAAGAGCAGGAAGCCGGTGGTCGGGTCGTTGTCCTCGAGAAGAATCTTGTCGGCTTCCTGCGTGCTACCGACAATGCGCTTGTCAGCGCCAAGAAGACACACCTCGGAATCTACCGGTCGAGGATATTGTAGACCCACTGGATCTTGTCCTTCGGAATGCTCTCAATGTACGGGCGCGTCACCGTCTCGTAGAGCGATTGCGTCTCGGTGACGAACCGGAACGTCTGCTCCGTGTGCTTGGCAATGTGCGCAGGCGTCGCGGGGTAGATCATCGTCACCTGCGTCCATATGAGCGCCGTCGCGTCCATGCATGCGTACCCGCAGCGCGTCGTTGTCGCCAGAGAGCACGCCGATATGGTTCGAGTAGACGTCGTTGGCATGGATCTGCTTGAGCGAGAGGTTGGCGAGGATCTGGCACGCGTCGCCGGCCGCAAACTTTTGCTTCTGGAGCACGAGCAGCATCTTCTCGCTCGGGCGTCCGCGAAGAGTACCCACGATGCACATTTCATTGTCAAAGACCTTGGTGATGCGCTCAATCTCAAAGGTAGAGAGGTCCACGGCGCTCGCAGTCCGGCGCAGCGTCGGCAGGTACGTCGTCGCCAGGTACCCAAGGCCGACGCCCGCAGCAAACGCGGTGGAGAGCATAGCTACATGGACCATGAGCTCGCTAGTACGTAGGTTGTCTGACGGGCCTACTCAAATCGCGCTCGATGGACGCCATGGTGCTGCAAGATTGTAAAGTGCAATTGATGTGAGGATCGCCACAGTGCACGACAGGCTAAACCAACCCAACTTACCGTTGGGCTTCTCTCGCTTGTTGCAGTTTCTGGGCTGTTGACGCCAAGTGCAACAAGTGTTGCATGTTTCGGCTTGATGGACAGCGTGACGTTGCTAGATTGTACAGAATCCCTGTATGTCGTGTTTTACCACGGCAATACAACACCATTAACGGTACACGAATAACGATAGACAGGTGGGATACCTAGACGCCAAGGTCCTCTGCGGTGCTACGAGATGCTGCCACCGGCCCACCACGCATTTTGCGTTTTTTAAGCCGACGTATTTGAGACTTTAATATTTAATTATTGAAGCTTTGTATGCAATTCAATAGCATCACATGTCGCTTCGGGGGTGGCCCAATGCAGCACCATTGGTCAAAATAATGTTAGATGGACCAATCGGCACACGGCATCGAAGGCCGACGAAGGTCCGGTGCGAGCCCCTTGGGCCAAAGACCTTGGTTTTTGTATGGATTCGAATGCTTTGTTGCGGATTGGTTAAAAGTGTTTCGTTTTGGCCAATGGCATCGACGGCCGAATCTGGCATTAACGACCACTGACTTGTGGAATTTGCAGCCCTTCGCCAGCCATGTTGAGCCGTGTCGCCCGCGCCGCGCCCAAGCGCCTTCCCCGCGCGCCCTGCACGGCGGCCTACTCGACGGACCGTGATAGCCCGATCATCGAGAAGCCGACGTTGAACGAAGTCGTCGAGAAGGCGGCGAACCTCTTCTTCCTCGGCGAGATCTTCCGTGCGTCGTGGCTCGCGTTTGAGATCCACCTCGAGAAGAAGGTCACGATCAACTACCCGTTCGAGAAGGGTGTTTTGTCGCCGCGCTTCCGTGGCGAGCACGCGCTCCGCCGGTACCCGAGCGGCGAAGAGCGCTGCATTGCGTGCAAGCTCTGCGAAGCGATCTGCCCGGCGCAGGCGATCACGATCGAAGCCGAGCCGCGCGAGGACGGCAGCCGCCGGACGACCCGTTATGATATTGATATGACCAAGTGCATTTACTGCGGCTTCTGCCAGGAAGCGTGCCCCGTCGATGCCATTGTCGAAGGCCCCAACTTTGAGTTTGCCACCGAGTCGCACGAAGAGCTCTTGTACAACAAGGCCAAGCTCCTCTCGAACGGCGACAAGTGGGAGTTTGAGATTGCGCACAACTTGTCTGTCGAACAACTCTACCGTTAAGTGCCACCGGTCGCACCATCGGCGCGCCTCGGTGCCGACACTACATACAGTACCTCCTTTGTCGGTTGCCTCTTCTTGTCCCGGCTATAGACCAGTCCTACATCGCCTTTTGCCGGCAGCGCAACGCAGCACGTGGCACGGAGCCGATCTATATTGAACGTCGTCTTTACCCAGAGAGTTTACTTTTGGACAAGTGTGCGGATCTTCTTGACAATGTCATCGACGCGCGCCGACTGCGTGAAAAAGTCCAGGAACTCGCCGTCGGGCCCAATGAGGTACATGACGATCGAGTGGTCCACGAGGTACTCCTCGTCCTCCTCGGCGTCGTCGTCGACCTCGGTTTCATCAGCCTTGGTAAAGTACACGCGGTACGCCTTGGTCACGTCCTTGATCATGTCGGGCGTCCCGCAGAGCATGCGCAGCTTCGGGTGGAAGTCCTGCTTGTACGCTTCCATTTGCGCGACCGTGTCGCGGGCTGGGTCGACCGTGATGAAGAGCGGTTCAATGTCGAGTCGGGGACCTTGTCCAAGACTACACCAGGCGATCATGCATACTGCAGGCGGCGACTGGAATTGTACCTTCGCCAAGGCGCACGAGTTCGTTCGGGCAAATGTCCGGGCAGTGCGTAAAGCCAAAGTACAGAATCGTGTGCTTGCCGCGGAACGACGCATCCGTGACGCACGTGCCCGACGCGCAGTCGACGAGCGTCCACGGGCCACCCAGAAGCGCCTTCCCGACCGTCGTGACCTTGCCCGTCGTTTGCGTCTGCAAGCGGTCCTTCTCGTTCTTGTAGTACATCAAGACGCCACCGCCAATGACGCCGGCCAAGGCCATGCTCGCCCACGACACGGGCTAGGAATGCGTCGTCCTGTTAGCCCACGGCAACAATGCGGCGAATGGCCTACCCCAACGTTCTGGAGCTTGGTCGTAATGTCGGGCTTGGGGCCTGCCGTCGAGGCGAAGGCGCGGGCGGCGCGGCTGGCAGGGCGGAGGAAGGCGCGGCGCAGCATCTTTCTTTGTCGCAACTTGAGAAATCACTCGAAGGCCAGCGATGGATTCGAACCGGAACGCGTATCCGGTTGGGCAAATAAAAACGGCACGTGAAAAACGTGGTCGATTGGAACGTGAGAAATACTATTACACGCGTGGGATTTGCACGTGGCAGCACCACAACGTCTGCCTCCCTGAACACCATGGACCAGGCACGTCCAGCGCGCCAAGCTCTGGACAACCAGACCGCGCTCTTCAGTCACAACTGCGAATACGCGTGTGAGCAGCGAGTACGACCCAGCACATCTTTCTTGTGTTGAGCCGCACGGTACACCATGGCGACAACGCCATACACTACCAGCCTCGACGCTTCGTCGGTCGCGATTCTTCTCTCATTCTCAACACAACCTTGTTCTTATTGGTGCTCGGCAGATAGTGTTGTATCCACACGGAGTCCTTGCCGCCTCTATGAGATGCTGCCTCGAGCCAGTCGTCGGTTGGCCACGCGGAGCGGCGTGTGTGCTCGGATGTAGGAGTCGCTGCCATGTCGAGTACCGAAAGTGCTCTGACATCATAATAGTAGCTCCCAAGCAGCGTCGCGAGTCGTTCGCACACGTCCTGGCGGAGGACTGTAACGTTGTGAAGTGACAATCAACGGCACGACAATCATTCTCGTCGACGTGCTCCATGCGACCATTGACAGGATGGCCACGTCCGTGCTACAGTCGCCCGACCTCGTCGCCGCCATCGCCGCGTACCAAGAAGGTCTACCAGAAGACTTGGCCGCGGCCCAGCGCATCGCTGATGCTATTGAGCTCACGCCGTGCTTCAACGAGGAGCAAACCGGATACCTCGCCCACGTTCCGACCCGGTTCGCGTGGCTGCCGTACCTCCAGCGGTACCCACATCCGACGACCAAGCTACCGAACCACGCACTCTTTGTCTCGCCGCGCGTGTACGATCCGGCCCTGGCGCTGCACCTCGCGGTCGTCGACGGCGACATGGCGCTCGTCCAGCACTGGCTACGCTGGGCTCCATCACTTTGCACGTCGGCAACGCTCGAGCTTGCCGCGGCTGCGTCCCAAGGTCCAATTCTGCGCCTCCTTCTTGCGCAGTTTTCCGCGCTCGCGACCACCAAGATGATGGACCTCGCGGCTTTGTCGGGCGACCTTGCGCTGCTAACATGGCTCCACGAGGTTGGCGCGCACTGCACTTCGGCGGCGATGGATGGCGCGGCCATGAACGGGCACCTCGATGTCGTCGTCTTTCTGCATGCAATGCGCGCTGAAGGCTGCACGAGCGTCGCGGCCACCGCGGCGGTGGTCCACGGCCACTCGGCGATCGTGCAGTACTTTCTCTCAGAACGCACAGAAGGCGTCAAGCCTTCGCTCGACTTTGAAGCCCCACACGGCGAGCACAAGACGCATTGTGTACGGGGCGAGAGGCATCTTCAGGCTGTCGACCTTGTTGCGGCGACGGTCCAGCTGACGGACGCGGCGTTCACACGCATTGTGAAGCAGACCGGGCTCGCTGCGCTGCACCACGTGTATACGCGCGGATATCTGAAAAAGATGACCAGATCGTTGCTGGAGCTCGCCGTCGCCACGCAAGACCACCCGATGCTGCGCTACGTCTTGGAGTGCATCGACCTAGAAGAGTACCCGCGACCGCAAGGGGACGATGAGTGGTTGCCACCAGACGCGCCAGAGGACACGACAGTCGACTTTCGACAAGGCCCGCGGCGAAATGCGGATGTCTACCATCCGATCGACCGGTGGGAGCACTGCTGTGTGATGCAACTGGCGGCTTTTAACGGTGACATCACGTCGCTGGAGCTCTTGCACAAGAGCCGACTCCGCGTTGGGTCGGACCGAGCTATCGACTACGCGGGCTACTGTGGCCACATGGACGTGCTCGATTGGCTGCACACGCACCGGCGCGACGGCTGCACCGAAGACGCCATGACTCTCGCCGCAGTCGCCGGCCGCTTGGACGTGGTTCGATGGCTCCACGAAGACTACGGTCTTTGCCGAACCCACGCCGCCTTGACAACATCAGCATGGGCTGGCCATTCGGCACTGGTGATGTACCTCTTGGATGAACCGACGAGCGGCGCCGACAATTGTACGGATATGACCGACAACAGCTCTCGCTATATAACGACGATTCCACCGCTGTATGGTGGCGCCGAGGTCCACTACTTCAAAGGCTCGGCAACGTACTGCGCGGTCAGTCAAGGCCATCTCGAGATCGTTGAGCTGCTCGTCGCGCGCGGCCACGCCGTGCCATCAACTGCCATCAATGAGGCCGTCTCGAACGGTCACTTGCACGTCGTGCGGTACCTCCACGAGGGGTTCGGTCACATCTGCACCTGCTACCGGTCCCTCTTGGAAGCGGTCGTGGGCCTTCACATGGACACTGTCGCGTACGTCCTGCGGAAGAGTTGCTGGCAACTCGGTCGGTCCCTGTCCAACGACGACAGGACCGACATCGCTTTGCATATGCTGCTCGTGGCCACGGCGCGCAGCGGCAGCCTGTCCACCTTGCAGCTCGTTTGCGACATCTTTCCCGTCAATCTCGCGACAGAATTGTCACGCCGCGTCTCGGAGCGCATGCTCCTTCGCGCAGCGTCGCACGGCCACCTCGAGATGCTGCAGCATTTGCACGACCGCTACGGCTTTGGATGGACGCCTCTGGTTCGAGAGGCGGCGATGCGTCGTGGCCACAGAAAGGTGCTGCGCTACATTGGGACGCTCGGGCCCGCGACAGCTTCCGCCCATGCTATCGACGAGCGTGGGCTCTGGCGCGAAGGACGTGATCTCATGTTTCACCTGGCGAGGGTCGACGGTGTGCTGCGCGTGCAGCCCATGTGATCGGTCGTCTCGATGTTCTGGCCGATGCATGCAACACGTCCAGGGTGCACTCAGCACCGCATACGGAGGGTGCTTAGCCCACTGCAATAGTACAACATCGGTAGCCATGCTAGAGTTCTATTTCAATGGAGAAGTCCATGCCATGTGTGTATCCAGGTAAGACCCTTCCCCTGTAGCACGCGAACGGCGCGCCAAGGTTATCCGGATGCGACCCGGCGTGTACTTGATGAATGTATGCGTTGTCTGGCGCGACAGGGCTGATTTCCGGATAAAGATACACGCCCTTTGTACAGATTTGCACGCGTGCAGTGGAATTGCAGTCGAGCATTCGCCACGGACCGGGAAGAAGAAGAGCCATGGCCCCGATCCTCGAGGTGTACACGCTGGACGAGCTCGAGCAGATCCAGGTCGGCGTGCCCCGGGCCATGCTGCTCCTCATGATCTCGTACTTTGCCGTCTTTCTCATGGCGCTCGGTGTCTACCTCGGCATCGCGTGGTACGAGCGCAAGCGCCAGAAAGGCGCGGACGAGCTGGACCTCGAAGACGCGCGCGAGTCGATCATCATGCCCTTCCACAAGCCGCTCATCCTCTTGGTCATGGGCGTCTCGCTGAGCATGGGCATCACGGTCGGCCTCGCGCCTGTCCCGACGAGCTTGACGGAAGGCGAGCTCCTCTACGCGATGCGCAACTTTAGCGTCAACGTGGTCGTCTGGACGATGCAGTACCCGGCCGTCTCGCGCAGCACGACGCTCAAGGCGATCGCGTGGGCGACGCTCTTCAGCCTCGTGCCGATCCCGATCATCTACGCGGTCGAGCAGCACCGGCCGCTCGGCGACGTCTACCTCACGCTGCTCTTCGTACGAGCCGCGACCGCGGGCCACTACGTGTACAACTTGCTCTGGCCGCCGACGTCCCGCGGCGCCGCGTCCTCGATCCGGTGGTACTCGGGCCTCGGCCTCCTCTACACGCTCCTCGTGATGGCCTACCATATGGCCTTCAAGTACCACTACTTTGCGATCGGCTACAACTGCGTGTACGCGGCCTCGAGCTTCCTCGTCTTTTCGCCGCTCTTTTTATACAACATTTTCCGCGAAGACACCAAGTTTTGGCGCGGCGCCCACGCCGTCTTCCCGCCATCGCGCGAGTTCCGCCAGATCGTCGCGCGCTTCAAGAACCTCACGGCGGACGAGGTCGACGCGTACGACGAGGCCGTTCGGCGCATGATTGTCGACGCGGCGACGGTCATTTTGAACTTTGCATCGCTGGAGTTCAAGGTACCGCATAGCGTCGAGGGTGTTGGGCGCACGGCGACGGTCGCCTCGGGCTTGCTCCATGGGTACGAAAACATGGAGCCGCAGCGTGTCGCGATCAAGACGTTCAACCCCGAGCTCTTTCTCGCTGACGAGGTCGCCAAGGTCGCGCTGGAGACGTCGATCGCGACGCTGCCCACGATGCGCAACAAGTACATTGTGCATGGTTTTGGCCTAGCGGTGCATCCGCCTGCGCTCTGCCTCGTCAGCGACCTCTGCGAGATGTCGCTGGCGTCGCATTTGCGAGCAAAAGGGCTTGGCCTTTCGCTGCGCGTTCGCCTCACTTACATGCTCCACTGCGCCAAAGGCGTCGGGTGGACGCACGCCAACATGGTGCTGCATCGCGACGTGCGCCCGGCCAACTTTTTCGTCCAAACGCTCTTTGAGACGCAGGACCTGCAGAAGATCATCAAGCTTTCTGATTTTGGCGACGCGATCTTCGAGGTGACTGAGTGACGAAAGCACCGCGCTCGGTGGCTGGCACGCTTTGCTACATGGCGCCCGAGGTCATGCGTGGCGCGACCGTGCTCTACCCGCACCGCAACAACGTTGCGTACTACAACGCGTCGGCCGACATTTTCAGCTTGACGATGACGTTTTGGGATATTTTGCACCCGAATGCTATGAAAGACGACAAGTTTGGATCGTCCGTGAGCACGCCCGAAGGCCAGCGCCGCGCGGCCGACAAGATGCTCCACGGCTTCCGCCCCGAGCTCTCAAAGGAGGTGCTGGCGGTGCCCGGCCTCAAGACGCTCTTTCACGAAGGCTGGTCCGACAACCCGAAGATCGTCCGTCCCACGGCCGTCGAGATTGTCGGCCGCCTTAAGGCCATGCTGGACGGCAACAGTGCCATGTACCACAGCGACAATGGTTCCAACAAAGCGCCAGCCACCAAGGTTATGACCAAGACGGGGAGCAGCACCGACGAGTCTCTCTCCGTAGACGACCTCCCCGTGTACCAAGAGTTTTACGACGTCTAACGCTTCAGCTCGACGCCATGTAGCCTTTCAAGCTAAGCAAGAAGTAAGTATTGGCATTCAAGTTGCGTCACGTGCAGAGAAGTTGCGTGTTGGTTTGTTTATCACCCGACGCGCGATCTCACGACGCCACGTCATCCATACGTTTTTTGTATAGTATACGTATTGGGGCATCTGCATATCCAAGAAAATCCGCCAATCAAATCGAGTTGGGATGGTCATTGTAGCCAATCCGCGCGCACGAGGCGGTGGAGCCGGCGCTAGAACCGGTTAGGAGGCGGCGTGTTGATTGGTCGACGTGGCGCCACCAATCGTTGCTGCGCTTTATATCCCAATACCGACGATGTCCAAGAAGCTCGAGACGAAGCCGCAGGTGATTGTGATCCTCGAGAACGCAGCGCTGGAGACGGTCAAGACGGCCAAGGGCCACCAGCTCCTCAACTGCGACGACCACAAGGGCATCCACAAGAAGCACAACAAGGACCCGTCGGCGTCGCGCCCCGATATCTTGCACCAGGAGCTCATGGCGCTGCTCGACAGCCCGCTCAACAAGGCCGGGTACCTCAAGGTACATCCTTCTTCTACCCACGCTCGCATCCTGAAAGCAGAATGATGACGTAGGTCTACATTCGCAGCGCCAAGAACGTGCTCATTGAAGTGAGCTCGCAAATGCGCATTCCGCGCACGTACAAGCGCTTCGCCGGCCTCATGGGTACGCAAGCACTCGATATATATGGATGCGCTCACACGCTTTTCACGCGCGTTGCTCCACACGCTCAAGATTCGGTCGTCGGACGGCAAGACGACGCTGCTCAAGGTCATCAAGAACCCGATCGACGCGCACTTGCCGGCCAACATTAAAAAGTACGGCTGCTCGTGCACGGGCGACCTCGTGGACCCGTGGGAGTTTGTCTCGGAGCTTCCGCGCGAACCCGTCGTCTTTGTCCTTGGCGCGATGGCCCACGGCCACATTACCAAGGAAATGTGCCCGTACATTGACGAGATGATCTCGGTCTCGGAATACCCGGTGCGTTCTCTTAATCGCGCACAGACGCTCATGTGGTTTTTTCTTCTAGTTGAGCGGTGCGCAGGCCGTCGCGCGTCTCCTCAACGGCTTTGAGCGCCACTATGGCGTCTTGTAAAGCAGTTGCCGAATTCATTCCGTTGCATTTTTACTCGCATTGGCGTATGTAGTATTACCAAGGAAATAAGATTTTAGACAAAGCAAAAGCGGATGCACCTCGCCACCGAGTCTGACGCCATGCTGCAGTGTGGGCGCTTGGATGCAATCTAGGAATGCATGGATTGTGGCTTCCTTGATGAGCCAGCGTTCTGAGGCGCCAGACGCCAGCCTGGCATCGTCTCCGACCGGTTGTGGCGCTCGCGTGTCGTACGCTAGGATGACGCACGCGGTACATGAGCCGACGCCACCGCGCCTGTCCAGCATTCGATCCAGCATTTCCGTACAGAATGTGCTTCCAGAAGCTCATATCCGATACAGCATTTTCAGACACTATGGGGCGTATCGCGGCTTGGAGCGGATGCTGGATTGGATGCTGGATAAAGACAGTCGATCGAAATACAAGAATCCAGGACGTCTATCCAGCGACAAGAGACACACGGTACTAGTAGCATGTAGTAGTACAATATGCCAACGTGGCGACCGATGACGCCATCTCGAGTTCAACGGTTTCCGGTTCAACTGGAAGAAAAGGCGCCGGGTCCTGCAAGCTACTCGAGGTTCTGGCGGAGAAAATGGGAGCACGAGTAGCCACCGGTTGCGACGCCTTGACCCGGTGCAGGCCGAGATCTCGGCGCCTTGTCAAGGGCTTCGATACTTGGGTGGTGGCCAGCCTGCCGTTATATGCACCGTCACCTTAACGATCACAGCGCAGGCAATGACACGCGATCGAGCAACCCCATACCAAGCAAAGGAGCTGGTGTACGTAGAGCCCCCTATGACGTTTGCGGCTCCCGTCTCGTGTTGCGATTCTCAATGACCGCGTCCATTTTGTGTGGAAATAAGTAGCTTTTTGAGTTTCGCCGTGTAACCGCATCCGGATAGCGTGGCGGAAGACGATCCATGTCGTGCCATTCGACATCTTGCGCCGTCGCACGCCATGCGCCTCGTCCTCGCCGTCTCCGCGCTGCTTCTCGACGCTGTCGCCAGCGCCAAAGACCGCTGCACGGCCATCCTCGTGGGCGCGCAGGTACATACGCATCATGCTCGTGCGTAGTGACTCACAGAGCCATGGCAGGCGTCGACCTCCGGCTCGCCCATGACGACCCACAGCAACGACTGCCCGGACTGCGACTTTCGCCTCGCCAAGATCCCTGCCATAGAATACGAGGCCGGCGCGATGCGGCCGGTCTTTGCTCCGACGTCGCAGTACCCACGCTACGGTACAGTCCATCGCGATGCAAATCGAGAGCTCTCATCCGCCATGCCCAGTGGGAAGCGATCGCGGGCCCGTGTACGCACCCGAAAAGCTGGATGACCGCTTTTACGACTGGACCGCGTCGCAGCCGATTGGTCAGATTCCGCAAGTGAACGCCACGTACGGGTACCTCGAAGGCGTCTACGGCATCATGAACGAGCGCCAGCTCGCGATGGGCGAGAGCACATGCGGTGCGCGGTTCGTGTCGCGGCCCATCTCGGACGGCGGGCTCGCGCTCCTCGACATTACCGAGCTCGGCCGCATCGCGCTCGAGCGGACAACGACGGCGCGGGATGCTATTCTGCTCATGGGTCGCCTCGCCGAGACCTACGGGTGTGCAGTCATGCCTAGTACAGCTCTGTACGAGTGTGGTTGTATAGGTACTATGGCTCGGACTGGGACACCGACGACGCATATGCGAGCGCCGGCGAAGCGCTCACGATCACCGACACGACCGAGGCCTGGATGTTTCACATTTTGCCGGACGACACGGGCGCGTCCGCGCTCTGGGCTGCACAGCGCGTGCCAAGCAACCACATTGCGGTGGTTGCCAACGAGTTTGTACTGCGGGAAATCCACTTTGACGACGCAGACAACTTTCTCTCGTCGTCCAACCTCCGCGACGTCGCGGCGCGCAGCGGGTTGTGGGAGCCGACCTTGCCATTCGACTTTACAAAAGCGTTTGCGTACACAGAGTCGACCTCGGATGCGTCGACGCGCCGCGTGTGGCGTGTCTTCAACCTCGCCGACCCGTCCAACGCGCTGAGCCCGTTCACGGACTTGTACGCAAGCAACTATCCGCTCTCGATTCAAGTAACGATACCCTTGACCGCATGTCTTCTCAAGCAAGTATGGCTCGTAGCCGGCAAGTCCGCTCTCCGCCCACGACCTCATGGCTTTTCAGCGCGACCACTTTGAAGGCACGGCCTTCGACTTGACCCAGGGACCGGCCGCCGGTCCCTTTGGCGACCCAGAGCGCTACAGCACGGCACAGAGCGGCGGCCGCTTTGAGCGCAGCATCGCCGTGGCCGCGTCCACGTACTCGTTTGTCGCGGTGCCGACGGCCACGTCGCAAGCCCTCGGGCTTCTCTGGTGCGTCGGCGATTCCTTTCCGAGAGGGTTTCTTAGCGCAAAACTTAGGTTTGGCGCCTATGCGCCGGACGCCAACACGTACATCCCGCTGCATGTCCGCATCTCAGAGGTGCCGGCGCTTTTAAGCCAAGGCTCGCTGCGGGCGTTTGACTTGAACGTCACCTTTTGGCTCCACGCGGTCCTGGGCAACTACGCGGCTCGCTACTACAAGTTTGCGCACCCCGTGATTGCCGAGACGCAGGGCGCGCTCGAGTCGGCCATGCGCTCGAGTAGGACGACACCACAAAAGTGTTGAAATCCTCGCGGCTCATATTGCTAGTGTAGCGCTCAAGGACGTCGACCGTGTGGCGCCGGCGCTGCGAGATCTCCAGGGCGACGACGCCATGGTGGCATACTTGACGACCAACGCCGACGTGGCTGTAACGCAAGCCCACGACGTCTTCTTGGCGCTTTTCACGAGCGTCGTCACGCGCTTCCACGACGGCTACGTCATGGCCAACGCGACAAGCGAGCACTTGAGCGCCACGCCGATGGGGTACCCCGACTGGTACCTCAAGAGCGTCGGGTACTACGACCCGCTCGGCGGTGCCAGTGCATCGTCCGTCGGCGCGATCGTGTTTCTCGTCCTCGTCGTCATCATCGCGCTCAGCGTCGGTGCCGGCTTTTACGTCGGCCGCGTCCGCGCTGCCAAGAAGCGCGGGTATGCTTACATTCAATAAACCACTCGAGAATGACGACACACATTGCATCCATGTATTTGCTAGCTGCAGGTCACATACAGACGTGACAGAAGCGTCGTCAAGACCCAACGAGGGTCATCGCATCTGGTGGTGACGCAAGGAGCGGAACGACGGAGCGGCGATGCTAGGCTTGTCGCAGAGTCTCGTGCAAAGGATGAACTCTGCCCCCACGGCTCGTAGACAGCCCATACGCCCCTCGACGGCGAGGCTTTATCCAGGAGAAGCGTACCTGGTTTGTACCCTCACTCGTCTCGCTAGGCCAACACGAGGGCCCAGCCAAAGCGCCTTATGAACCCTACACACCATACCTGATTGAACATCATGCTGGCAGTGCGCTCGTACGGTCGAAGGAAGGGAGCTGGAAGCAGCTGTAGGCAGCAAGCGCGGCGAGCCGACGTCGCCACACCTAACGGCAAGCCTGACGTGGCAAGCCCTAGCCCCGATCTCGTGTTTAAAACCGATGCAATGTGTTTTATTCACTGCAACTGGCGGTGATTGGGCCACGTAGTATTGTATTGCGTCATCGCGAGCATGGCGGACGAAGCCGAAGTCGAGTCGTTCGGGCCGCCCGAGCCCGTCGCGCCGTGGAACTGGTCCAGCATCCCGGACTACGGTCCCGTGCAGCAGTTCCAGCACGTCGCCGCCTTCCTCCTCATTGGCGTCAGCATGACGCTCGTGTACGAGTACACCACGTACACTCTCCATACCTCTGTGCTCGACCGCGGTCTCACGCATGGCGTAGGTACTTTGACCAAGTCTCGCGCGAGTTTGCTTACCCGCTCATCTGGTTGGCCATCTTCTTTCGGCTCCTCGCGCACCTCTCGCCGCGCGAGCTCAGCGAAGAGGACGAGATCGCGGCCCGCGAAAAGGCCGAGCAGATCGCGTTCAAGAAGCGCCTCGCCGCGCTCGCCAGCGAAGACGACGAGAACGACGACGAGACGGCGCCAACGACTGCCGATGACGCTTTGCACGCCAAGAAGCAGCAATAATTCCTGCCATCCGATCACACATATATCGATTGCTGCATTCTTGTCCTTATTAGGTCGTACTCGTTCTTCTAAATGAGACGCTTAGCCGCGCAGCCAGCCAAAGAGGCCACCGCCCGACGACGTCTTCGGGTTGAGCTCGTCGATGCGCGCTTGGAGGTCCGGAAACGCGAGCTCGCTGCCCGCAATGTCGAAGAGCAGCGGCTTGGGCGGAATCGCCACCATCGACGGCGGCAGCTTGACCACGTCGTGGGCGCGGGCGCGGGCGCCGCTGTTGTACTCGTGCTGGCGCTCGAGCAAGCTCTTGACACCGTCGTCGTTGACGTCGAGCTTCTCGAGCGTCTCGCGGACGGCGTCGGTCGAGCCATGCAAGAAGGCGCTTGCATTCACGCGCGCAGTCGCGCCAAGCACCTGCGGGCGCAGCTCTTCAAGCAGCGAGACCACGTCGGCGTCCGAGGTCGGCATGGCGTCGGCGAGCACAAAATTGGTCTTGGCCAGCTCGAACAGCGCCATCGCTTCCGGGTACTAGAGGCAAACATATATGTTGTTGTCGAGCGATATACCGAGCGATGGCCTACCTTCTTGCCCGCGAGGTACATTTGCGCCACATAGTTGGCGCGCATCGCGGCGAGGAGTGGCGAGAGCAGCGCAAACTTGGTGCGGAAGAGGTCGTGCGACTCGGCGCCGGGCAGCGCCTTCATGTCCGCAATGTTCTGCAGCAACATTTCGAGGATGTGGATCATGTCGCCGGGCGACCGGTCGACGCCAAGCCGCGCCTTGAGCTGCTGCATGAGCGTCAAGTTGCGCTGGGCCTACAGGATAGATAGCCGTCGGGTCCGCGTCTCATTGGAGAGATGGTGTGAATATACCGTGTGCACTTGCTTGAGGAAGCGCGTGTACTCTTCCAAGGCCGCAATGTTGTCCCGCTGCGCTTCGGCCATAAAGCCGCTCTTCATCGCGTCTGTCTTGGTGCGTTCGTTGCCGAGCTGGCGCAGAATGTTGTCGTATGCGCTAGTCGATTTCCATGATGCGATCGAACCGACGAGAAGAGATGAATGGGTCTACCCAAAGAGCGCCACGTAGATCGCATCCCGCTTCTTCTCGGTGAGGTCTGTCTTTGCGAGCTTGGCGAGGTGTTCGTCCGGGCGCACCATGGCCACCGAGAGCTACGATGACACGAGTCGTAGATGAGGATCCTCTTGTAGCATCGCTGGGCGTACGTCGTCGGATGGAATCGCGACCGCGCGGCCGTTCCACGTGATCTGCGCCATCGTCTTGGCCTTCGTCTTGGCTTCGGCGTGGAAGACCTGGTCAATCTTGGACTGCAGGAGCGCCGACGTCGTCGACTCGCGGAGCTCGTGGAGCAGCTCGGCCGACGCGCCGCCCGATGCCATGTTGAGGTTGTACTCGCAGTAGCGCATGAACGGACTAATCTCTTCGAGGATCTGGTGCACGAGGTCCTGCTGGACCGACGTCCCGACCTTGGCGAGTTCCGTGTAGATGCGCTGCGCGGTCGTAAACTTCTCGAGCGCCAGCTTCCACTCCTCCTTGTAGAGCGCGAGGTTGCCGGCCATGTACGACGCATACGCCTCGGCTTCCAGGCTCGTGCGGGCGTCCGCGCGCTCCGAGCAGAGCGCGACGAGCTTGTCGGACCACGCGACGGCCTTCTTGAGGCGGCCCATGAGATGGAACTTGATGCGGCTGCTCGCCTCATCGCCGTTCTCTTCCTTGTCGTTGCGCTCATCCTCGCGCAGCTGCATCGCGTAGCTCCAAGCGCGCTCCGAGTGGTACAGCGGCAGCATCAAGTGGCGCACCTCGGCGGCGTTCGCCGGCGTGACCTCCTTGGCGACAAAGCCCTTGCCCTTGCCGTGCGTGAACTTGAGACCCTTGCGCAGGCGACGCAGGCGGCGCGCGCAATGCTGGCGGTAGCGCGAGTAGTCGCCGAAGCGCAGGCCATTCTGCTGCTGGCTAAACTTGATCGTCTCAAGGACTACACAGCGCATGAGCTTGGTCGGAAGAGCATCATGGCGGTGACGTACTCGGCAACGAGAGCGGAACGTTGGAGATGACCTTGGTCGCCGGCGCGGCCGACGCGCTCACCTTCTTGTCCTTCTTCCCCATGATGATGACTTCGTGTTTTGGCCAAGGACTGCCGATTGCGACCTGTTTCGATGCGATTGGCTAAAATGATTTGAATTTCCACCAATTTAGCACCAATGGCATCCACGCTATTTTCGAATCCGCAATGAAGCGACGGGGAGACCGGGGTGACATGGGCGCCGAGGACAAGCGCTCGAAGCTCGCAACAAGCAAAGCCGCAGACGCTGGAAAAGACAAGGATGCTCTGCGCGTAGGCAACTTCAAGAAGCAAGTTTGCATCTGCCATCCGTCCTCTTCGTCAACGGTATCCTTTAGGTACTACGCCTTTCGCTGGGGCAACGGTGCGATCGAGGGCAAGCTCGAAGAAGACTCGCGCCTTGCCATCTTCCAGCGCGAGTGGTTTGAAGGCAAGAAGGCCCTCGACATTGGCTGCAACTCGGGCGACTTTACGCTTGAAGTGGGTACGTCTCGCATCATGGTCCAATCCTTGTCGTCCATGTTGGCCTCATGCGTCGATCTGCGCAGCGCGTCGCTTTGCCCCGGCGTTCATCATGGGCATCGACTGCGACGCCGACCTCATCACACAAGCACGCACGACGCTCAAGGAGTACATTTCCAAGCTGGCTGTCACCGAAGCCTTCCGCGAAGTGCAGAAAGACCATGGGCGCAAGGACGAGCATCACCGCGATGATGCAGACAACGACGACGACGAAGAGCTCCCGCTCTCCTTTCGTCTATGGAAGCCACCGGCGTCGACGCAGCCCAGCGTGGATCCACTGCCCAACATTGGCAGTTTTGCCTCGGGGCATGTCCTCCTCCGTCCTAAGCACGACCCACTTACGCGCGCTGTAGGGTGCGCTTCCCGTACAACGTGGTCTTCAAGCGAGAAAACATTGCGACCGACGTGCACACGGGCAAAGACTATGACGTCATCACGTGGTAGCCTTGCGCGTTGCCTTGACAAAGTGGCTGTAAGGAGCGTGGTGCGTAGTCTGAGCGTCACGAAATGGATCCACCTGTACCATGGCGACGCTGGCATCCAGCAGCTCTTCCACCTGGCGTACGCGCTGCTCTTGCCAGGCGGGTACTTTATCTTGGAGCCCCAGGTATGCATCGTTCGCAGGCAAGGTCTTGAGCATTTTGTTGGCGTAGAAATGGAAGTCGTATCACAACCGCAGGGACACGAACGAGACGACGCGGGCTCACTACGACAGCATTGCGCTGCGCCCGTCGGCCTTCTCGACGTACTTGCTCGAGACGGTCGGGTTTCGCTCCATGACGCTGCTCAAGGTCTGCAGTACGTCGGCGCATGGCTTTCGCCGCCCCGTGTACCTCTACCAAAAGTAGACAGCATATGAGAATGGTGCATTCTTAATAGTTAAGCAATTAGAGAGTTGTCTACCTGCCTAGCGTCGCACGGGACCCTTGCGCACCATCGCGCCAGTCGGGCCGCGCTGGCTGTTGCCAAGGCCAATGTGCGCGCCGCCGCCGAGCCCCAGCGCTGGAATCGAGCCTTTGTGCTTCTTCCATAGCTTGACGCGTTTGAAGAATGGCGCGTGCTTGAGCATGTCTGGGAAGATGATGAAGAGGATCTGCGACCCGCGCAGGTACACTTGGTCGCAGTGCGATTGCATGCCACGGATATCGGTCCGGTACGCGTCCTTGAGCACGCAGTTCATGTTGTCCTCCGTCTCGTCGAGGAAGCCGCGGTAGAGATCGCCGTTCTTGAGCTCGACCGTCACGATCGTACCTTCGCCATCATGGAGCAGGATCGTCGGGATACCCACGCCACGCTTCCCCGTCACCGCCATGGTCCGTTCGTTCTTGGCTTGCTGGAATGGAAGGCCGCACCTAGCCGAAATCGTTCGTCAAAGGCCATTGGTCAAAATACATGGCTTTTGGCCAATCTAAAGTGGGTTCGATCTTTCGGCATCTGCCACTTTGCCATTTGAATGCCACGTCTGTGGCACGGAAGAAGCGAACGACCGATCAAGCGACGTTCTCCTATAGACGACCCTACTCATGTACTCTCGATCATAAATTACAATGATTCCACAAGCTGTGACGTGCTTGCACGAGCATGCGGGTGTTTGCACAAGCAGCACACTCGTGGAGACTCCCAGCTAAATTCGGCATACCGACCTCGAAATGCCGAAAATTGTCACACTCGCACTCTAGCGCCATCATGGAGAAGTACAACCGCTGGTCCGACTTGACGACCGGGATCAACCCGTTCGTGCCTCCGCCCCACAAGCTTCCATCCAACGTTGTCCTGCGCTGGGGCCAGCTCCTCGTCGGTGGCGTCGTCGCGCTCGCCCGCTGGGTCCTCCTCCTCCCACTGCTGTTGCTCTGGTCGCTCCTCGAGCTCATTGCGCTGCTCCTCGTGCGACTTCCATCCGCATGGCCTCTTGTGCTCACACGCGCCGATGCTAGGGCTACGTTCCGCTACTTGGCCGGCTTGTCCATCGGGTCGTCGACTGGGTCTGCGTCGGTCTCATCCTTGTCGTGACGACCATGTTTGTCAAGGAGGAAGATGCCAACGTCCGCCGCCTGGGCCTGCTGTACGCTTGGACGTCATCACCTTCATGCGCTCATGGACTCGTGGATACGTAGCCCGCCTGGCTCCAAGGCGCCGTCGCTTCGCCGCGTCGCGGCTGGCGACCTCGTTGTGTGCAACCACTCGAGCGTCTTTGACGTGCTCTACCTCGCCTTCCGCTACTCGCCGACGTTTGTGTTTCCGTGCGAAAAGGAAAGCAGCGCCAAGGTAAGCCTATCCGTTCGGCATATATCTTTGAACTCATGGGGTCTCGCGCAGGGCCTCGTGCAATCGTGCACTATCTTTGGCGCGCTTCGCCAGACCATGTCGCCGCCGTTGAGCTCGCTGTCGTCGGTACGACCTCTCTTCCTTGACCCGCCATCTCATGCCCTGTGCACGAAGCCCGTCAAGCTTGCCGATGTCCTTGGCCGCGCGTCGGGTCCTGTCGTCGTCTTCGCCGAGGTACCGATGACCGCCGCCTTCTTTTGATCGTCCAGGCGCTGAGCGAAAACAGGGGACGCGGAGCAACGGCAAGGCGGTCTTGCCCTTCCACGTGGATCTGACCGCGCTGCCGACCTCGACGCGCATCCATATCGTAGCGATTCGGTATGGATGCGCCATGTCTTGTAGGGCATTTTCATCCATGTTTGCAGGTACGAGTACAAGAACATTGCGCCAACGCACACGTGTGGCTCGGCGCTTCTCCAGCTCTGCCGCGTCTTTTCGCATGTCTACCACGCGATGAAGATCATGCACTTGCCGGCCGAGTACGTCACGGACGCATCTGCGGTGCGCGCGCTCTTGGCGTCGATGCTGCGCACGAAAGCGATTGACGTGAGCTGCGCCGACTTTGTCTCGTTCAACAAGTACTGGCAGCACGTCAACGGCGGCGGCCGCGAACCCGCGTCCAACTTTACCACGCGCAAGGCACCGCACGAGCACGCGCAGTGGAAGGCAAAGGAGACGTAGCCATCGCCGCACGTACGACTCGCCCGTCATCTCGTTCGTCTCGTGGCCGGTACGAGCAAGATGCGTGCGAGAATAGTAGCCCAGTGCTAGGTCGTCAATCAAAGCCATGCACAACACGGGTCTAAGTAGTTCGATTTGGCACAAAATGGTATATCGGTCGAGCTCTGCATGTACGTAGTATCGTGCGAGCGTGGATCGGCAGACGGGGGCGTTTAGTGCAGCTTCATCGCGAGCTCGTACGCGCTGATCGCGAGCTCGGCGGCGATCAGAATAATAATATACCACTCCATGCGCGTGCCCTTGTACGAACTGAGCACTTCGAGGAAGAACTACGGAGTCATCGAACCACCATGAGGATGAGCTTTGAGGGCAATTGAATGAATCTTATGCACCTTGGTGTTGTGCTGGATGAGCTCGAGCTTGAAGTTGAGGTTGTTGAAGCGCTCGCTGAGCTCAAACTCTTCAAGGAGCGTCTCCCACATGTTGTGGTAGCGCGTGTGGGTCCATGCCGCGTCGCCCGGCCGCTTGCGGTCAATGACGCGCAGCTTGCTCACGAGGTCGATGAGCAGCGTATTGTTGGTCGCGACAATCTACGTTCTTATAGAAGTCGGTTCGCCGGCAACACACAGACGTACCTGGAAGAGCTTGCGGTGCTGCTCCTTCTCGGTCGTCTCGGCGCCCGACCACGAGAGACCAAAGAGCGCGGTCTGCGGTCCCTTCTTCTCGACGAGCGTGTTGAGCTTCTCAAACTCGGCCAAGATGGCTTCGACCTGACGCTCGTAGTGCTCAAGAGCCACGGTCTGCGCCAAGACACCGGCAATGACCTAGACATCCTGTCAGTCGAGTGAGGGCAGATCGCATCGCGATTGAACCTGGATGTTGACGTGGTCGATCTCCTGCACGCGAATGTTGTTCTCCTTGAGCTCGCTCCACCCCTTCTGCGTCGGGTCGGCGACAAGCAGCAGCTCTTCGTCATGGCCGCGCATCTCAAAGGCGTCGCTGCAGTACTCTTGGCGTGCTTGATGAGCGTCGTCGTGAGCGAGTCGTCGCAGTTGAAGAAGACGACGGCGCCGTAGTCAAAGTAGACGACCCACTTGTCCTTGGCGCGGCGCGACGGAATCTCCGGGTTCTCGGGAAGCGCTGCGCTCGGCGGGAGTTCGGGCGGGAACGTCGACGCCGACGTCTTGACCGAGTTGTTCAGGTGCGCAATCCATGGGTTGGGCGCGTTGTCGTTGCCGCTGCTGAGGCGCAGCACGACCGAGTCCTTGTACAAGTAGTGGCTCACCTTGAAGCGGTCCGTGTAGAGTCGCTGAAAGAGCGAGACGATGTCCATCTTGCGCGCCAAGTGCACGGCGCGGATCGGCATGTGCTCGGCCTTGCGCTTCCGCTTGCGCTCTTCTTCGGCCATGGCCTGCGCGATCGTCTGCGAGACGTCGGTCGCATCAACCGCAGCAGCAGACCGCGGCAGGCTCGAGGCCGACCGGGCGAAGCTCGGCGTCGGCCGGCCCAGGAGGTGCTTGCTCGTCGAGAGGAGGCCACGGCGCAGCATGTGATCCTCGGACGTCGACTGAAAATAATGGTGTGCCACAAGTTGTGCTTGGATTTGAATGCTATACAAACCACGATACAAATAAAATCGCAATCTTTTAAAACATGAATTCCTAGAGGTCCTGCAGCATTTGATATACCACGCGAAGCTGATTGGTTCGTGCAATCGACGCCTGGCGCCGGACACCAGGGCCGCACCTCGCCGACAAGTGCTCTTGGTAAAGTGGACGTGCAGAATTGATGCCTAGTCGACTGCTGCTTATACCACGCTTAGAACCTGCTACCGGTCGTGACTGCTCACCTTGACCTGTGTTGGCAAAACCAATCGCGGGTCCTGCCATACTAGTACATCAAGTTGAGGCAGGCAGTATTACTTGTCCTTGCTCCATTTTGTCGGGATTGGAATTCCCAGAGTACATTGCATTTTTCAAAATGACAAAACGTCGACGTCGTCAATCGCGGGAACCGAATTTGCCAAGTTCATGGCGGACTCTGACGACGGCATGGTCAAGTTAAAGAGACGTCAATGCCTCGAAAGGAGCTACACCAGGAATGTCCGTGCGATCGCGTACGTACGCGCGAGATCCAATCGTTGTTTGTGGGTCGAGTGGTAGAAGCAAGAGTACGGTACATCAATTCAATTCATGCACTCTAGAAGCCTCGATAACGTCAATATTTCCCGCGCGAATCAACGACGACCGAGGACGACTCCTGCCGCCCATGAAAAATATTACTTTCAATTCCGGCAAATGGGACTGTACTCATCCTTGATTGGATTGCACCTTAAACACTGCTATGCACTGCACAGAGAGCTTGCACAGAGCAGAAAGTCGGCGTTGGACTTGTCAGCGGCCATTTGGTTTGGAAAATGCGGGAATTTCAGCGCGCCTGCTGCAATCTGATTGGTCAAAAGAAGATGAAAAGGTCGACCTCGCCACTTTCAATTGCCGACGCAAGCGACGCTACCTTCCATGCTCGGACGACTCGTACGGCGACATGGTCCTCGACGAGTCTGGTAGACATTGGGTATGTGTAGGCTGCGCTCAGCCTCGGCGCCAACGCAGTCCTTGGCGCCTGCCCGTACCAGAACTACGCGTCCACGTTCACGGTCAGCTACTGTGTGCAGCCCGATGCGATTCTCTGCATTGTCGACAGCAACTGCAAGGTACCTTGGATCATGCAGCCTCGATGCGATGCATGTGGTCTTGTAGCCGACGGTGATGTACACGAAGAAGATGGACGTCTTCAAGGACTCGACGTTGACCGACCAAATCATCATCAAAGGTAGGGTTGGCGCGAGCGTCCCCACGCTCATGCGGTTCTTATGGTAGACAAGGCGCAGTACCTCGCACAGCTCCCGCGACTTAGCAACACTTACATGTACGACGTCTACTCGAGTCCCATGGCAGCACTCTTACACCCCTGGTAGTCAATTCTTTGGCTCGGTGCGCGAGGTTGGCGACTTGTCCAACGACTCGATGGTCGCGCTGCTGTATGCTCTCATACATGCACGTCTTGGCTAAACTCTGACGCGGTCGTAGGGACTTTCAAGGCAACCCTGGCATCGACCTCTCCAAGGCTGCATTTCCATCGTCGATGACCCGCTTGTATCCACGCCTCATTTTCGTCGCGTCTCCTCATGAGGCTGGGTAGGTCGCTTGCGCAGTGCCAGCTCTCGACGCTTCCGACAACGGTCCCGTACGGCCAGCTCTCGGAATTGTACGTTTCGATTCCCCAAAAGTGACGAATCGAATCGTGTTTTTGTGTAGCTATGGGTGGGACAACAACTTTACGTCGCTCGACAATATCGATTTCCGCAACGCGGTCGAAATGTAGGACGTCCACCGGAGCTGGACATGTACTGATACATTGATATGTAGCAAATTCAACAGCTGTCCGCGCCTGACGACGTTCAACAACGTGTCGGTCTCGAATCGACTGAGCAAATTGTACGACGTTGCATCATTTCCACTTTTGAACCACGAATTTCTCACCTTCTTGAAGCTACTTTGACGACTCGAATTTCACAACATTTCTCGTGGACCAGCCAACCTATACGGCGCTGCAGTCCGTCCCGACGTTTGCTGTCGGCGGCATCGATGTCTCGGCTTCGTGCAAAGCGCCCAACACCATCCAACCGCTCAAGACCAAGTACTCGGTGTGCGTCATGCCAGGTATCCACGTCCAACCAGAATCACACTCAGTTCTGATTGGTGATGCAGCGTCAACACCGACGATGGCGCCAATCTCGTCGGCGCCCGGGACATCGACACCGGCCGTGACGTCATCGACGACGCAGACGGCGTGGATTGTGGGGGCGACGCTCGGGGCTGTCGCCGTCGTTGGGCTGTGCGTCGCCGCCTTGGTGTGCTTTCGCCGCAAGCGCCGCGCGGCTAATCCGTATGCTGAATGTTCGAGACACGGCAGCGATGATGACGTTTCTTTCCATAGGGCGACGGAATCAACTATCAACCGAAGCTACGGGCGCACGGAAACGATGGCGGGGGACACGTCGTCGACGGGACACATGGTCAGCGCCGCCTTCAACATGGAGGTCTCCGCCTTTTGCTATCCGCGAGGAATGCCCATTTGGATATGGCTAGGACCTCGAGCTGCTTCGACTCGACGAACGCGCCCTCGTGAAACTTCAGTCGATTGCCAAAGGCGCGTACGGGGAAGTCTACCGCGGCGAGTACAAAGGTGTGTAGTATCAACTTATCCACCCTAGACCTAACCCAATACGATTATAGGACAAGAGGTTGCGATCAAGTGCATGCTCCAAGGCAAGAACTCCCGCGACGACATCCTCAGCCTCATTGACGAAATCAAGCTCACGGCCAAGTACATCATCTCGTCCAACATGCAGCGTTACATGCCTCGCTCACACCTTGGACTTGCATTAGGCTCGACTGCCCGTACGTTGTCCAGACGATCGGTGCGAGCTGGCGCGTCCCGTCCGAGCTGCAGATGGTCCTCGAGTGGATGGACCGCGGTGACCTCAAGAGCGTACTGGAAAAGACCAAGCCGAATGTGCCCGGCGGCGTCTCGACGACGTTTCCGTGGGAAGAAAAGTTTCAGACCATGCTTGCGATCGCCGACGGTCTCGTCTATCTGCACTCGCTCGACGTCATCCACCGCGACCTCAAGTCCCGCAACGTGCTCATGGACTCGCAAAAGGTTTCATGTGATTCTAGAGTGTTGACTCTCAACAGTGGAGAATAGGGCACCAAGCTCACCGACTTTGGCGCGTCGCGCGAAGTGACGACCGAGACGATGACGATCGGTGTCGGCACCTACCGCTGGATGGTACTCCTACGACGACTCGGTAGATGCGCAGTATATCTCGATTCTGTAGGCGCCCGAGATCCTCCAGGACAACCACTACACGACGGCGGCCGACATTTATTCGTTCGGGATGGTCATCTCGGAGCTCAACACGCACTTCATTCCGTACTCGGACATGCGCAACGACAAGGGTACGCATCTACTCTTCGTATCAACGTATCAAGTCGGACATGGCGTGTAGGCAATGCGCTGGTGGACACGGCGATCATGAGTCGCGTGATCCAAGGCACGATCCAGCCGACGTTTACGGCGTCGATCCCGTCGTGGGTGCGGACGCTGGCGCTAGAGTGCCTCCGGCCGCATCCCGAAGACCGGCCGAGCGCGACTCTTGTTGCGCACACGATCCGGCAGCAGCTCAAGGTCGGCCTGTAGTCGACCAGTGTACACAATGCAAGCGTGCTTGCTTTCATGGAAGCCTTTTTTGATGGCAACAAACGTGACAAGCACACTGTTGAGTCGTGCTCAATCACTGTAGACTGTGCGAATTGGTGGTGCACAGAGGTCGATTAACGTCACATTCATGGATCTTCAGGGCGAGCTTAGCAGCACGGCGGCGACCAGCACTAATTACTGCGCTTGTCTGCCGGCCGCCTAGTGGTTGGGGCCGATCTATCCGATGGGTATCGTAATAATTTTAAAGCAAAAGGCCGATGGTGCCGTGGTTTTTTTCGATACAGAGAAAATAAATCCGTGTGGAGAGGGGATGATAACCGCATGAGACGCAATATTAACCTTTAATAATCGTGAAACGCTCTCAACGTTTTATGTTACAGGTTGATCTCCCCAAGGGTATAATAATTAATCGAGCCAAGTAGTTAACGAATTGAGGATGTTTATGAGACCGCTTAAATATCGAAAAGAAGGATATCCCCAAGCTTGGAAGAAGGATTTCCAGCAAGCTTGGTAGGCTTGCACTGCAACCGCTCTTGCACTGTAACCGCTGTGAATGAAACGAATGCGATGCGCGTGTACTAAAACAGCTTGATCGATGTTCTTCGACAAGAGGGACAAGAAGCGCAAGTCCAACCCCACGTACGAGGAGCAGCGAAGGGCCCACGAGCTCAAACATGGGCCTATCTCTCCGATAAACATGGCTGCCCTCGAGGAGGCATACAAGAGCCGCCAAAGGGTCCGAAAGGCGCGCAAGCCCAAGCCAGGGCCTGTCATCTCCGAAGAAGGTATGAACGTCTGGCGCGCTTCTCGTGAAGCCGACTACGTACGCAAACACGGTGTAGCCGCCGCCGTCCGTCACGGTGACGCTGAAAAGGCACGCAATCAGTATCTGAGCTGCCCGCCCGCAGCAAGTGCGCAAGGCGGTGTTCCAGGTTGCGGAAAAAGGCAGAAGACGAACGCGCAGCGCGAAATGCCTAAATTGGGGGGAGCAGTGCGCCCACCGGTAGGATCTTTGTGTGTTAATTCCCGTTGGCCACGCTCATTGTAGTTGTCGGTAAAAGAGGAAGAGATGGGTCATTTTCCTCATCGTCTCGACCACGCATGCGCGCGCTCGACCGGTCCCCTGACCAGAGAAGTGCGAGCCGAGTCGACCAAAGCGAGCCCGCGCAGCTCTCTTTGGGATCAGATCGTCGCCAATGACGAGATTGCGCACGCGACTGGCTTCGTAGAAAGATACGAGTAACGTCAGAGGACTTGAATGGGACCCGCGCTTCTCGCTCGTGCTCACGCTGCCCACCTGATTGTGCCAAAAAAAATCACGTAGGGAAGGACGCTGCTTGGCGCGGGGGTTGTAGCTACTACCTACTACCTATCACTCGTCCCTGGCTTGGCGCCTGGTACTCTTGGCAAAGCCAAAAACGCTGGTCTTCGAGCAGGTGTATATCCTGTATTTCCAATTTGAGCTAAGAGAGTTTAAAGCCAACCACCGAGTAGTATATCAAAAATACCCTTAAAATTGTAGCTAATAGCAAAATCTCTAGATCTACTCGATGGCGCTGTGGGCGGCGAGTCGCTCGCGCATTTTCTCGACCATTTGCCGCTGGGTCTCGATGCCAAGCTGGAGTCGTGTCAGCTGCGCGCCCATCTCTGCATCGCGCGTCGCTATCAGCGCGCGCTCTTCGTCGCTGCTGTCGTCACCCACATCATCGGACGTCTCGTGACTCTCATTCTCGCTCGACTGCTGCGTCTCGTGCGAGTCGCGGGGCGAGGCCGCGTTGTCGGACGGTGCTAACCCTACCCCCATTACATGAGACATGTCAACAAGTTGAGGGAGCAAGTACGGCGCTGAGAGGGCGCACTAGTGGACGACCGGTACGTCCGCGCCTGGAGAAAGCAGCGTTTGCAAAACTCTTCGGGGGTCGCCTTCATGTTGCCGTCTGGCAACGTGAGGACGCGTGGAATCGTCACGACACACTTGCCACACATGCTCTACATCTCGGCTCATGAGGCGATTGAGCAATTTTGGCTATGTATGGAGTCGTACGTCTCGGCAGCCCCAGCACTCGTGGCGGGCGCGGAGACCGCGGAACGACGCAGCGCACGACGAGCAAGCGCCCGATTTTCTACCAAATTTTGAAAATCCCGAAATCCGTCATAAAATCATGAAAAATGACGCACCGCGGGAGCGAGACGGGCTTGGTCGCGGCCACGTGCTCGAGAAGGCGCTTCTGCTGCAAGTAGCGCGCATTGTCGTCGCTAATGTGGCTGTAGTTCATCGCTGTCTTGTTGAAGACGAGCGCAGGCATGTTGCCGAGCGGATTGGCTTGGAGCAACTGGACCGACTCGACGCTTCCGTCCGCTGCCTCGGTGTACACCATGATGGCCTTGATGTAGAACCGTGTCGCGTCGTCAAAGGGCGGCACTTCATCGAAATCCATCGACTCGCGCACACAGTAGACGCCGCGGTGGCCGCGCTTATTGACAAACGACCCTGTACACTAAATACAGAGATGGAGTCGCGATACAGATAGGAGAGAGATAGGAGGGAGAAGTACCTCTATATACGTCGTGTCGCGGGGCTCAAAGACACCGTTGAGTGGCATACTCATCTTCTTGTAGCGAACGCCAAAGTGCAAGAAGGGATCCTCTGGCGTTCGCTCTTTTGTGACGTTGAGGACGCGCGCGTCGAGCATGTTTTCACCGTAAAAGAGCGTCTGCTGGAGGCGAAAGTCGGCCTCCGTCTCGACGTAGACGAGCTCGATGTAGTCGTCGAGGCTCATGCCGGCGTCGCTGATGACCATAAAGTCCCGGTACGCCGACGTCGCGTTCTTGCGAGAGAGCACTCTTGATGTTGGCGACTCGCGCGCGAGCTTGTACCCGGCATGGTAGGCGTCAATGAGACGCGTCTCGGGCGAGCTCTCGGTGACTTCCGCGATGAGCGACCGCAGGCGGGCGTCGATCGCGGCGGCTTTGGCCGACGGCAGCTGGACCAACATTGAGTGACCGTGTAGAAAACAGCAAAGTCCACACTGGGAAGCAGGGATGCGAATGATTGACGCAGCAGGTGACGTGCGCCAGCATCTGATCGGCGGCCCGGCTGAAAAAGCGCGCGTCCACCTTCGACTTTCGACTACGCTACGCTTACACTATTTCGAGTGTGACAAGCACTGTCGCCACGGATCTCATCTTATACACTGTCTGTCTTGAAGCACTGTTTTGTACACGCACGGCCGATAATGATACCAACGACGCTTGCATGCACACTGCGTAAGCGATTCGATCGATTCGATCGCATGGGCCGTGGACATCAGCTGTGACTGGTGTGATCTGAGCACAGATCCGCCTGTCGCGAGGTGAGCGGTTCGGACAGCAACAGACACCATGGTTCTCCCGCGAGATGCACCTCTCTCGAGTGTTCTTTTCCCTTAAAAACGTGTCATAGACCAAAGGCGCATCATTTTACAGCCTGTGTGTGGAGCACGAATGAATTGGTACAACGCATACAACCTATAAAAAAGCAATGTACTAGAGCCGTTGAAGGCTCGAGCTATAGACCTTGGGGATCGTTGGCTGGCGTCGTCGCTCTTGCACGAGTAGCCAAATCAACTAGAATAGACGTCTCTTTTGCTGACAACGAAACAGTGTATTGTTGACGTGATCACACTATTTAGCGCGAGGACACACGAAATCACTTCGAACTTCGAGTCATGTCGACCCCGTGAGCCGGCAACATGATACGGCTGCAATGAGCCATCGGCAGTGCACGACGATGCAGCTGATCACGGATAGCGACTGCACCAGCGTAGACGTGTCACGGGATGTGTTCAATGGGCTCCTTCTATTTGCTATCTACAAGACGCAAAACTCTCCTGCCTGCATTGTCATAACGTAGGATTTCGAGGATGTTTGAAACGCTTGTGGACCTTCCACGCGCGAGTTATCTCAGCGCTGGGTGCCAGAGTCCCGCTCCTTCTGCATCGCAATGAAGCCAATTGAAGGAGGTACGCAAGGTGAAGGCGCCAATGCAAGCGCTCCGTGTAATTGCAGCACAAAATAAAAAATACCAACGGATCACCGCGCATAGCACGTATAGGAGCCGAGTCGGCTCCGTATCCCTGACCCGAAAGAGAAAACTGCAGTCCAGCGGAAATCTAAAATGCCAGAGCGGGTTGAAGGGAGTTGCCGATGAGACCTTTGTGTGGAAGCACATCGTACTGGCAGGCTTTTTGGTCGATGCGGGAAAGCGTCTTTGCCTCCCGCGCAAAACGGCAGGCTCCAACCAGAGTCCACGCGTGAAAGTCGAGCGTCACGCTACAACTTTGTGGACTGTGTGCGCTACGACCTCGATTTGATGCGTGTCCTAAGCGTGTGTGATGCTTTTGATTGAGAAGCCAGCGAACTCGAGTTCACATCGTCGATACTGATTTCAATATTGTGTGTTATAGGTTTCGTTTGAAACACACATGACGGCTTGCACTCCTCTGTCGGGTGGTCCGAGTACAGGACCCTACGTCGTTATTTTATGCTCTTTGGCGTGTTAGAGTGTTAAAAACGACCTCGAGCGAGCTACCCCTCGGCGAGTGGGGTCCACCACGGAATGGATCTCTCCGTATTACGCAGCTCACTCCCAACGACCAAGTGCTGGTGCCAACTCCCACGCATTCAGGCGTAGCTCTACGTAGGCGAAGTCGTTGAGTTAGTTTTTGCCACTTCGATTTCAACGCAAACACTGATTGATTGTGTGTCATGGTCGATTATAGGGGTCATATATTGCTGCTCAAAGTAAATTTAAGCTAAAGTGTGAGCCGCAATTTGGTCAACTTTGACAAAGTTGCCTAAAACGGAACGCGCAATCGTTTTTGAGGTGCCCGCATATTCAGCGATTGTAAGCGTACAAGACGATGCGCAACCTTCTTTCAGGCGCGTTAGAGCAGAACGAACAGTTGTCCTCGTCACAAGCGAGCTAACTGTGACGGAAGCGTCTACACCTGGTAGCCACCAATATCAACGACACGTCTACAGTCTTCTAGGCATCTTTCACCCGAACACGCTCGGCGACGTCGCGCTCTACAAGCGCTGCAACAGCGTCCCGCTGAGCGAGATCGTCGCCCGCCAACGCTGGAGCCTGCTGGGTCACGTGCTGCGCCTGGAGAAAGACGTCCCTGCCAACATTGCCGCTGCCCGCTTCTTTGCCGCTCCCGAGGCGCCCCGTTTTTTAGGCCGCACCAAGATCACGTTGCCGATCGTCCTGCACCGCGACCTCCAGTCGTTGACGCCGCCTCAGTCGCTGGCGTCTCTCGAGGACCTCAACCAACTGCGTAGCTTTGCCGCCGATCGCGACGCCTGGAAGGAATCCACGGAGCTTGTCATCATGGGCCTCACCCGCGGCCACAAACGCCCCCGCGCGACTACAGAAGAGCAAGATGCACCCCCGCGCCGCCGCCTGCGCAGCCACGGCCCGGTGACCGAATGAAGAAGAAGGAGATTGCTAGTCTCTACGTATGCGAACTCTTTGTAACAACGAAGATAACGCGAAACACGTTCATATATATATATACGTCTACAGTCTACAGTACCGGAATATAGAAGAATGTTTGTGCAGTACGCCGACTCTCGTACCCTGCCTCTTCTGAGATTGCACTTTGGTTCGTCGGCGGTCGTGCGTCCAACAAACAAGCAGACTCCCCGACAACAGTCGCGTTCTCGAGCAGCGGTGAGATCGTCAACGCATGCCGTTTATACCGCACACTTTACAGATACGTGTGTTGTTGCAGCGTCAAGTTTGTGTATGGCATCCAGTACAGTCTTCGTGGGCCATACGTGTCATGAGAATGGACCTCCTTAACGTCCACACACTTCACCCCTTCTAAAACTTCAGAGAACGTCCCCGTGGCCGCTTTGGCAGCCTACGAATCACACCACATGCCGCAATGATACACCATCGAGCGGTATAACGCCATGGTATAACGCAAACGTACGTACACCAGAACTGAGCGAACACATCGGTAATGCAAACCCTGCGGCAGAGGGCTCGTCCTCGTCTTCAACAGCAACCACATGGCGTCTACCTTCAACGTCACCACCAAACGCTTCATCCTCTACATTTTCCATTCGACCTCTTCTCTCACAGGACTATGGTCGTCTACCGCGCCATGGACGAGACCCCGACGCCCAAGAAGACATGGACGCGCACGATCTTGACGTCGCTGACGTTTTGGATCGTTCTCGGCACGGTCATTGGCATCCTCATCGGCCAGTTCGCACCGGCGTTCGCCAAGGACGCGGCGCCGATGGCCCAGATCTTCCTGCGTCCGATCCAGTTCATCGTGTTTCCACTCGTCTTTTCGTCGCTCATTGTCGGTATCGCCGGCAACAACGACCTCAAGCAACTCGGCCGCCTCTCGCTCAAGTCGTTCATCTACTTTGAGATCGTGACAACGCTGGCGCTCATTGTGGGTCTCCTCGCCGTCAACTTTGTCAAGCCCGGTGCGGCTGGCATCACCAAGAAGGGCAACTACACGGGGTCGCCCTCGTCGACGTTCACGTTTGCGCACTGGATCAACCACTTGACGCCCAAGACATGGGGGGAGATGATGGGCGGCTCGGGCAGCTCGGAGCTCCTCCAGGTGCTCGTCGCGTCGATCCTCGTCGGTGTTGCGACCGCGCAGACGCACGGCCACCACAAGCAAGTGCTGCTCGAGCTCGCGACCGCGGTCATGGAGATGATGTTCAAGTTTGTCGACATTGTCATCTGGACGGCGCCGCTCGGTGTCTGCTTCGCGGTGGCCAACGCCATTGGCGCCAACGGCGTCGGTGCGCTTGCGAGCCTCGGCGCACTCGTCGCGACAGTGTACGGCACGCTGGTGGTGTTTATCGTGGTCGTCTTTGGCCCCATCTTCCTCCTCTGCAAGATCAACCCGGTCGAGTTCCTCAACGCGATGCGCGAGCCGCTCGTGATTGCGTACACAACCGCCACGTCGGAAGCGGCGCTGCCCAAAGTGTTCGAGTGCCTCGCCCGCTTCGGTGTCTCGCCGCACATTTCGGCGTTCGTTGTCCCTTTTGGCTACTCGTTCAACCTCGACGGGTCGACCTTGTACCTCTCGCTCGCGGCCGTCTTTTGCGCCCAAGCTGCTGGCATTGACAAGAGCCTCGGCGAGCAGGTCACGATGGTGCTCATGCTCATGATCTCGTCCAAGGGTGTCGCCGGCGTCCGGTCGGCCAGTATCATCGTGCTTGCGTCGACAGTCGACCAGTTCAACATCCCGAGCTGGCCCGTGGCGTTGCTGCTCGGCGCGGATTGGCTCATGGACATGGCCCGTACGTTCACCAACGTTTTTGGCAACTGCCTCGCGTCCGTCGTCATGGCCAAGCTCGAGGGTGAGTTCCGCAAGGACGGCTGGGAGAAGAACTTGGAGTCTGAGATCGACGAGAGCGAGGCCAGCGCTGCCAAGGAGCACGCCAAAGTCCTTGAAGACGGGGTTCACTAAGCCACGATGGATGAATGTGAAATATGTATAACGTAATGAATATGTTTCTACTTCGACCAAGTCCTCGAAATTTTTGAGAACTCGGACGATGCAAACCTCCTACGACCCATAGCCCGTCCCTGAGAGGGCTATGAACAAAAGAGACAAATCATCGTACGTTGTATGCAAAGCCGTCCCCATTTCGATCAGTTGCCTCAACAGAACCGGAGATCCAATCCTCGCTCGCTGGTGCTGCCACGTTTGAACTTGGTCCGCATAACCTCTTGAATACAATATTCACTTGGACATTCAAATATCAAGTGCATCACTACCTCTATTAATGCATATTCGCGACCGTGCTTCTTCGGGTCGAAATTCGGCTTGATCGCAGCAGGATGCTCATGAAACCAACCGCGGGCCGGCCGCAGCGCGCAGCGACGTCGCGATCGGCCGTCGTCCTCGGCCATCAGTATGCGCTCGAGGCCGAAGAGTATGCTTCTTCCGGACATGTAAGCTTCCTCGCCAGTACGTGCATCTCATGGTGTACTCTGTAGCTCGACCGCGCCGAGCAGCTCGAGCAGTTGGCGAGCCAATGTTACCTTCGCGCCCTTGATGACATTGGCGCTGACGACGTCAAGACGCGCGCTGCGCTCAAGCTCATTGCGGAGAACCACGAGCAGCGCGCCGTGCGGTGGCAGATGGCGCTCGCGCCAGACGCGGCGCCCCGCCCGTCGTTTCCACCACCTCCGTCGACGACGACGTCCGCAGCGCCGTTTGTCCCAGCGCCCACCTCGGCCAAGAGCGAGACATCATCAAGCGCGCCACCCAGCGCCACGTCCATGCGCGAGGCAGCGTCCGAGATGGAGGACCTCTTTGAGCGGCTGAAAGCGCTCGGCCTTCCGGGCTATGCTACGAACGGCGGAGCGCGGCCAACGTCCAAGCAGTACCTGAGCTCGGACCTCGGCGACTCGTTCTGTCTCTTGCCGACGGGGAATGCGCGCATGCCACTCGTGTCCCGTGTCGACGGCGAGACGACGCTCAAGGCCGCGATCGGCAACCGCAACAAGAACCACCGCGAGCGGTACTTGAGCCAGCTCTCGACCGCGCCGTCATCGCGCCTCTCGATCCCGAGTCCCATCAAAGAAGATGGTAGCCACTTGCATCATCACCATAGCATCATCGTGACGGTTGTAGAAATCATGCCGTCGCCGGAGAAGCCGCCCCATCATGATGTACTACTAGTTGTTTCATTTGGTGCAAATGGGTCCTAAGAGCACATACTATGCGTAGGACGACGGGCTCTCGTCGTCACCGTCGACAGATGCCATGGAGCATCTCCGGGCCGCGCTGGCGACGCACAAGCACGAAATCGCGCGCCTCACCCACACCGTCAAGACGCTCAGCAGCGAGAACGCCAAGCTGCGTCAGGTGCGCGGCTTGACGACGATGCATTTCGCAGTGTAACTTGGGATACAGGATGCCCAGAGCACCGAGGGATTGGCCGACGAAAACAAGCGATTGACGCAGACCATGGAGAGCTTCAAACTCGAGTACAACCAAAAGGTACGTACATGTATGATACGACGCCGCATCTCCAACCTGACGTCTTGACTAGTTTGCCGTGCTGAAGCGCGCGCTGGAAGAGTGGCGTCGCCAGCAGCAACGCCAAGACGCCAAGCCATCCCCCATGTACTACTGCTTGCTTCTTTCTATATGGATTGTAGCTCATGGATGCACCATCGATCGGACAGAGACGTGGAAGACTCACCGCTCGTCGCTGAGCTCCGTGCCGAGCTGGACGCAGCGCAGCGCACTGCCCAAGAAAAGGTCGTGCTGCGTTTCTTGCCTCGTATCTCACTGTAGAG